GTTTAATTTTAGCTTTTCCAAATTCCTGTCTGATGTCAAACATTCTCTTAAAAAACTCCGTGGCCTGTAGTCCGCAAGCGAACTATACCGACGGGGCGACCCTCGCTTGTCGGCGAAGTTAGTGCCAACTTTTGCGAATAGAGGTTGTCACGTGATCGGCGCAACGAATCCCCACCGCCGTTGTCTCATTGTTATCCATTTCAACGACCTGCCCTACCCACTGAAATATACTGCTTTCAATCTGCCTCGTGGTATAATGTACATAATTCAAAATCCCATCTTCTTCTCAACTGCCTTTTTTATTGAACAGCCCCAGAGACACTCAAGACCCTTCTCTCATCTGCCTCTTTAACTGTGCAAGTCTCAGAAGCGTATGTTGCTACTGACCTCACACAGCGTCATCCTTACATTTATTGGGTCTTTCTGTACATACACGTACGAAATTCAAAAGGATATCCCACATCTGATGAAGGAAAAACGACAGAAGAAATTTCCATTTTTACAGTCTTACTTCTATCCAGTAGGAGCCGGGATGGCGACTGGCTGCGGGCTGGAAGGCCAAGGGGTCGGAGTTCGAGTCCAGATAGAGTCAAGAATTTTCTCTTCTCCACATCATCCAGATCGGCTCTGGGGTCCAACCAACCTCCTATCCAAAGTGTATCGAGGACTGGGCGTGAAGCTACCACTCACCTCCAGCTAGTTCCGAGGTCAAGAAAATATAGATCTATACATCCAACCCCCCACACATCTTCATGGCGTAGTGCCTAATTAGTCAAGCACAGGGACAACTTTACCTTTTACCTTTTTTTATTGCTAGTGGGGTGGGACTAAGTCCCTTGTACTGTGGCCACTTCTGGCCTATTCCTTTTACCTTAGTTCTACCCAATTCTAGTCTCTAATAAAAACATATCCAAAGGGCGAAGAAATTAAAAATCGTACGCAAAAGTCGTCTTTTCGTTTACCCGTAACAGTAAAATTGGAGCGATCTGTGGAATTCATACTTAAACATCTCCTTCAAACATAATATTTCCATTTAACGTCTAGCATAACACTAAGGAATGTCGTTTGAGATTTCGAACAGATGTCTCCGTTTGTTCCATTAAATATTAACCTTACTGAAAAATTAGTGTATTCATCAAGGAAGTAAACTAAATATTTGATCTAACTTAACACATGCATATCTTGTGCAGAAATCCCTAACCAGAGTACCACAAGGAACGCTGCAGGTCACCAGAAAAAATCAAAATGATCCAGTGAACATAGGGAAGAGCTAAGAGGCTAAGCATAACATTGTGACATGACGCCCAAAAGCTACTAGGCAAGGACTAGGGAAACCACATTCCAGCGGCAACGAATACTCGAACAACAATCGAGTAACTTCCGTTGTTATGCAACGGCGCTGTAAGCACGCCATGCCAACAATACAGAGGCTGTGTGTTCACACTAAAGTGTGTTTGAAGATACGTAGTTTCGGAAACTGGATCTGTTTCCGTCTTCAGGTGAGGAAGGAAGACACCTACTCAGTTGGGCCCCGTCGTGTCTTCTATTACCTAGGATTCTGTACGACGAAATAAATCCAAAATGCCAGTAATTCTGTGTGTCATCTACCACCGTCAGAACCTTTCAGATTTTAAAAGGTGTTTGTTTGAGAATGAAACTCTCTCCCCTTTCCGCAATATTTTCCTTCTGTGGCGTCCATCTTTGTGCCTCCTTCGAACGTATGGTCTCACTAATTGGGAGTACGTTTCGTATGACTCAGGTTTAATGCAGTGTTGCAGATTAAACAAGTGAACAATTGTCTGATGATGGTAAAGTACGGCGGAAACATGTAGCAATTGATGTGATCTTAATGTCATTTTAAATTAGGGAGAGAGTGCGAACAGTTTTAAATTGCATTAAAACGGAGATTAATGAGTGAGTAACAGTCCAAGCATCAGCTAGTCTCTAAATCTGATTTCCCAAACACTCAACCTATTCCATATAAGAAGGTATTGAGAATTAACCTTAAAAGTTGTGAATGAATTCAATTCTGATCTGCAGAGATTAAATCTGCTTCGTACTTTATGTAAGTACGAACCAAATTTGTATCTGTGCTTAATCAACAACGCGTCATGAAGACGTATGGGACAGTGGAAATAGAACTCTATAGTCATTTTTAACCACGGTATTAGATGGATGTGAGGGACCGACTTCCGTGCGCTTTATCCCCGGGGAAACGGCCCCCGGTACCAAATAGATAAGGGACTATAAGCGTTCAGGGCCAGACTGGACGGACGTAGAACAGAAAAATTTTTGTGTCTCTACAGCGAATTGAATTTTGATTCCTTGATGTTCCAGTATGCAGCGTGGTCACTATACTGACTGAGCTATTCCAGCTCTAATATCTACGTTATATGAAAATGAAGATGAACAGTGTATCGAAACGCATGAAAGCGATCTGTGGTCAGGAAATGAATATAGATCTGCACCATGGATGAGGCCGCGCCATAGCTCAAGCGGTTAATCGCTGGCTTCCCACCACGGCGGCCCGGGCTCGATCCCGGGTCTGGTCAAGTGGGATTTGTGGTGGACAAAGTAGCGTTGGGGCAGGTTTCCTCCGAGTACTTCGGTTTCCCCTGCTAATCTTCATTTCACCAATTGCTCCACAATCACCTTCACCTATCATCTGGGGCTGGTACAATAGGCCAGAAGTGGCCGCAGTACAAGGACTTAGTCCCACCCCACTAGCAATAAAAAAAATAGACCATAAATGGATCATATACATCGGTCTATAATATTATTAATTTGCAGCACTTTTTAAATGGAGTACATTTAATTAAATGCAATAAATATTGTCACGTGTATGAATTACTAACGACGGGCTTCGGATTGGTAATTGGATTTATTAACCACCTACAGGTCGTAACTACAATTAATTATTACGTTATTACTGATTTTCACACTACAAAGCACTCCACGCTAATCTCTTCAGTCTATCTGCACTAGTCTTCACGGATTTATAACGCAGGAACTGTAGAAGTTTCCCTAAGTCACACACTCCCAATACCAATACACTATAGCACATATAAAGTCTTAAATCTTCACAGGCTTTCTTGTATTCCTCTGTACTCCTCGAGCTGCTTGCTTGCTTGTCGCGTGCTTCTGCCGCTACTACTACTCGTAACTGCCCTGAACGAATTTTTTCATTTATGTATTTATAGTAAAAGTTCAAGAAAATGTGAATCTATACATCCACTCCCCCAAACGCCTTCATGGTGTAGTGCTTAATTAGTTAAGCAGAGGGACGGGGCGCAATTACCACGTTTACCATTACTGAATAACTGGAACTTCTCACAAGGGAACCCATTCTCTTTGTTGGTTGAAGGAGTAACGCCGTTGGGAGAGTGTCCACTCAGCAATCTGACATATTCCAAAAATAATACGATGTTGTTTACTTCATAGATTTAATATCAATGTATCAAATACCGCAAAGCTATAAAAGCTATTCCATGTAACAGGCCATGGAAGCCCATAGGATTGTGAGAGGTCGACGATCCCACATTTTCTAGACAGTCGGCTCGCAGATGGCGTTGACGCTGTCAGCCTTACGCGCCGGCCGGCCGCCATTTACCACCAGGAAATTTCCTGATACTCATTTCTGTTATCGTCTGAGTCGACCTCAGGGCCACAGTGCGGCTGGAAGATTTAGGTCAATTGAAAAATTGATGACATCATCTGGAATCGAACCCGCGACCTTCCGGCTTGTAGCATAGTGTCTCAGCCAACTACGCTACCGCGTGCCCATCAAGTATCGTATAAACCCTAACATAAGTCGACCTCCTACTTTACCAATGACAGAATCTGAAGAAACATTTTCAAAAAATTTCTGAGGGTTGTTAGCAAAAATACGTAAAAATTATACTATAGGGAAATATTTTAAATGTAACTAATTATTTTCAGAGCTGTCTTTATACGTGTAATTAGCAATTATAACTCGTCATAATCGTCACCGTCATATTTATTTTTAAGGACCAGAAATTAGGGCGAACCTTCTAATCTAAGGTGCAGTATTTGAAGTAAATATAAAACCTCACCTTATTCTCGGGGTAACACTGTAAATCTGTTCCTTCTCTTCGACTGTTTAGAGACTGACTGTGGGCGAGCAGGTCAAGACATGGTAGAAGAACCGAGTGATTCTCAACTATTGTAGGGGTTTCCGAGACTTATATTTTTCAAACCGAAAATAACAGAATAAAACTGCTTATGGAGTATGAAACTGTACTCAGAACGTTTTATTATCTATAGAATCGATAGTACAGAACACAACCAACTTCAACATGCGTTCCTTTGTTGGCACGTAAGGTTTGAAATTTGAAGGCCATGGAAATACCAACAATAATATAGAATTACTCTGTATTACACAAGGTATTACCTCGGTATTCGCCTAGAGTGACTGAGGAAACCTCAGGCAGAATTTCCAGTGTCCAGAGCAAGACCCGAAGTTAGTACCTCTCCAATGCAGCTAACCTGATCGGTATTCTAGCTTTCGTCCATATTTCCGTTGCCTATGCGAAAAGCGTCGTTCTGTTTATCAGGCGCGGCAGGAGTTAGGGTTAAACTGATGCACTAAAGGTAAAATTGGGGGCACGCGGTAGCGTAGTTGGTTGAGGCACTATGCCACAAGAGTGAAGGTCGCGGGTTCAAGTCCCGATGAGGCCACTGGATTCTTTTCTTTAATTTACCTAATCCTTCTAGCCGCACTATGGCCCTGGGGTCGACTCAACCTCTAACAGAAATGTGTACCGGGAATATTATTTGGGGTAAAGGGCGGCCGGTGTGTAAGACTGACAACCTTTCCGCCATCTATTAGCCGATTGTCTAGAAAATGTGGAAGCCTCGACGTCTCACTACCGTATGGGCCTCCGCGGCTTGTTACAGGGATACCTTTACTGTACCTTTACTTACTAAAGGTAAAACTGACGCCATGAAAACGTAGGTGGGAGTCATATGCCATTCTTTACCTCGATACTAGATAGAGATGAGTAATCAGCTTCATGCCTCGTCCGCCTTGCTCCCGAGGAAAGAACCTGTAGTACCAGTTTGATATGAGGCTGGGTGGGCCACCAGAGAACATCTGGACACTGTGGGATAGAGAAAAACCTATTGTCCGTGCTGGGAATCAAGTACCGGCCGTCCAACCTCTAGCGAGCCGCTGTACCGACTGAGCTATTCCGGCTCCTGAAAATTGATGCAGCAACAGAAATAACTTATTATTGAACCCAAATTCGGTGTGAATTTATTTACTTAAATCTTTGAGCAGCGTCTGTTCTGCAGTCCTGTGACAACCAAGCACGAAATTAAGGTATTTCCGACGATAATGATGATGATGATGATGATGATGATGCCATTTTAGCCCTCCTTTTAGGACGCTGCCAGTAGCTAGACTAGGCCTAGATAGTGTAGAAGGGTAGGAAGATACATGATCTAGGAAAAAATTGGAAGGAAATGGGAGTGCCCTGGGTAATGTCCTTTCATTTCCCTGGAGGCACTGAGGGAAACAGCGAAAGGAGGAGAGCCGGTGTCTTGGCCAAGATTCGAGCCAAAAACCTCCCGAATAGGAGTCCAGGGCTCTACCGCTACGCGGACTGGGGAGATATGTAAGAATGGTTGAAGGAGAATATTTGGAGCGGCAGAGGGCAGAAGTCTCGAACTCAGTCATCTTAGGAAGGAGAAATACTGAGACGATTTGAGACTAATTGTGAGGTCTATATTTTGAAATTTAAGGTCCTCACAGGGGCGACTGTGAAGCTGTAACGCCTTGTGGTCTAAATGGTCATACTGGAGGAAATTCAGTAAACTCCTACCAGACTACACGGTGTCATATACGTGAAGGCAGTGTTCTTCAAGGCCAACGTTCTTTCTTCTGGCAACATAACTAACTCCGTGTAGCTGAACCATTCTTGAGAAGCCACTAGTTGCGCAGCTACTCAAGAATTAACCAACATTTTATGGAACCCGAAGGTTCATTACCGTGTTCACAAGAGCCCTCCACTGGTCCCTAGCCTGAGCCAGATCAATCCAGTCCACATCTCCTCATATTCCCGCCCACGCGTACTGTTAGGTCTTCCTAGTAGTCTCTTTCCTTCCGGCTTTCCCACCAAAATCATATATGCATTCCACTTCTCCCCAATTCGTGCTACATGCCCTTCACATCTCATCCTGCTTGACTTGATCATTCTAATTATACTTGGAGAAGAGTACAATTAATGGAGCTCATCATATAGTTTTCTCCAGTCTCCTGTCACTTCATCCCTTTTTGGTCCAAATATTCTCCTCAGCACCCTCAGTCTATTTTCGAAAGAACAGTTGAAAAGCAATGGCGATAAAGCATCTCATTGTAGTAGATAATTTTGAATAACAAACGTTTGTTCTTCCGACTTTTACTATAACATTGTTTTGGTCTTACAGATGAATCGCCACTTTTAGTAACCAATTTATTTATATAGATTTTACATAACATGTAGTATTTGTACTGTGAAATAAGGTACTATATCCTCGGGGGGAGGGGGGACTGTTATTCGACCAGTCTCAGAATGAGACCGAAGCAGAATGTGTAACGGCATATATGACAACATGTACGTTTCAGTTTCATGATTGGCGTTTCAAGTCAAATGCTGAAAACGCCTCTTTCTACAAAGGCCTCAATTCATATTCAACCTTTCCTGGCTCATATTAGTTACCTAAGATGATTTGCGACAAAGAATAAAATGCACATATTTTATTCTGTATATACGTGTATAAATTGTGTTGAGTTTTAAGTGTACAATGAGATTACTATGTACGACAGCGAAAAATTTGTACTGAAGATTAATTCAATATGGATCAAAACAGGTGAAAATACGGCAACAAACTCCCCCAAAACCATTAGAATTCCTTTCCTAGGCAAGGTAAGGTAAAGTAAAGTTTTCCCCGTGCTTAATTGTTTAAGCAATATGCCGTGAAGATATATGGGAAATTGGAGGTATATCTCCATTTCTTTATTTCTGTACCAAGTGGGTGCAGTCAGCTTCACGCCCCTGCCGCTTTACTCCCGAGGAAAGAGACTCCGGTACCCACTGGATAGGAGGCTGGGTGGGCCCCAGATTCGGTTCGGAAGATGTGGAGAAGAGAAAAACCTTGTACCGCCAGGAATCGGACACTGGCCGTCCAGTTCGTAGCCAGTCGCTGTACCAACAGAGCTATTGCAGCGCCCATTGCTTCCCTAGACTCTACAAAAAAAATGAGGATTCGTCTAATGAATCACTCACCCCTTTAACCACATAATTTATGCGTTGCCATACAATCCACGTATTCGTTCCTATCCTCCGTGCAACTTATACTAGAAGTTTTAGAATGTAAAATTTCATTTTTAAAACTCTTTGTTCATTCACTTTATTTGTCCTATTAACACATATTTCGGCCTACTCGGCCATTATCAGGTGCGTTAAAATTGTTTTGGTAAAACTCCTGTACTTTATACACTGTCATAACACGATTTTCCCCCAGTTTTATGATTACAAGACACGACAGAATGAAATAAGCAAAAACAAAAAAACAAAAAAAAAAAACTCACTACCAACATATACTGTGCACGAAAAAAAAACTTTGCTTCAGAATTCGGAATTAAGTAATGAAATTGGAAATAAGCATTATGGCAGTGTATGAAGCGCAACAGTGTTACAAAACAACTTCAAAGCATTTGATGATGGCCGTGTAGACGGAAGTTAGTTGTGTGAAATAGGGCAAATAAAGTGAATGAGTTAAGAATTTTAAAAATTAATTTTGAATTTTAAGACTTCTAGTAAAAGTTGCATTGAAGACAGGAACGAATGAGTGGAGAGAATACATGATCTGGTTAAACGAGAGATAATATTTAATATTAGTGACTTCGACTGTAAGCAGCATCCATTCTGAATGTAGCACAGCTTCGTACCATTTTACTGTAAAATAAGCCTGTTAACGTCAGCATTACAACGAGCCAGTTTCACTACCATAATTATTTCATTTTCATTCTTAATTGTAATTGGTGGCCGTATTACTACACACTATGAGTATGGGTGCCACCAGAAATTTTGTTTACGAACTTACATTTAAACCGTTTAAAACTGTTTTACTGATCGCCCTACCAAAGTATTCAAGATAAAATAATCCATGCGTAACGAATTTTATTTTTGGTATAATATTTGGCATATTTTCTTCTTTTTCTAAATGCCCCCTCCCCTACCACAGGCGTCCAGGGTTTTCAATTGTAACCTGTTCAGCTGTTAATAGAAATGGCAATAAGGTAATATAGAAAAAGATAAATATTAGATCCCGCATTTACCTTTGTCTCGTACAAGATGTCAGCAAATTCCACGTGAAGGAATTAATTTACTTTTCACGCACTGAGTAAATATACTATTACGACAAACTCAACATCACATTATACTGCTGCATCCTATTGCACTGTGCATTCTAAACTAGCACTTTCCCATCTCACCGTCCCTGTGCAACTTCGTCGATGTATTAAAATTCCCATTTCAAAAGCTTTCGTCTCTTCCTCTTATTCAAACACTATACTCGTATGTTTCGGCACAGTTGATCATCAACAGGTGTACAAGTTGTAGGGGAAACTGCTGCCCCCTTGCCACACTGATACACTTTGCATTTGATAGGTGTAAAATGCTTATATAAAACATTTTAAAATAATTGTTAAAATATCATCCCGGGATTATTTTGTTGCATGCACGTGTTGTGGGTGTGGTGTGTCTGTAATATAGAATAATGGGAAGGCAGAAAATTCCACACTAGATACAAAGAACGTGTACAAGAAATTAGAAATAATAATAGTAATTTGGGATATTCAAGCTACATATGAAACACGGGGCATAATTACGGGTCAAAAACAGATACAGTGGACACTATAAGAGCATAGAAAAAGGGAAAACACTTAAACACATCAGAAAAATACCACATATACAAAATCAGTAAAGATTACTTAACAGGAATGACACAAACATTGGAACACATAACCCAATATTCAGAACATGCAGGAAATGAAGTACAGTTAGCAGGACACACACCTTACCTCATATATAAAAATAGAACCAACCATACAAAACATTCAGAACAGCTATACACAGCACCAAAGAAAACCAACATACCAACAAAATGTAAGTCAGATTGTAATTACAGTGACAGAACAACAGTATATAACACAAAATACTCACTTCACAAAAAGCACTACTATAACCCATTATTATATATTACAGATACACCAGACACAAGCACACAACAAAATAATCAAGGCATGATATTTTAAAAATAATTCAGAACATTTAGTAAGTATTTTACACCTTCGAAAGGCAAATAGTAGCAGCATTACAAAAGGGGGGGGGTGTAAATTTTAATATATCGACGAAGTTGCACAGGGACAGTTAGAAATGAAACTGAACATCGACTGCAAGATTTACCTCGTTCGCTCTCATCTGCCTGAGCGCCACATGATTTTCGAAATATGTTGCCCATCTGCGTCCCGTAATTGTTTCACTCGGCGAGTTGTGTTTACTGCGGGCATTTCCTTCTGCCACCAGATTTATATACACGGGTAATACAATGCCTGCAACGCACGTCACCCCCCTCGACCCGGCGGACTAGCATATTTTTGCGTCGCAGGGGGGGATGTAACTATAGTAACGCGTCCAATAATAAGTTATTGCTACACGCCTCCATTCTTCTCCTTCCACATAGCCAAAGATTTTAAATATAACGCTAAAGCATATTATTAAAACCGTTGTACTTAAGAGAAACTTACAGCGTCTTGCGGTAGAAGTGAATGTATGTATAAGAACTGTGTAGGATTTGAGGTTCTCACAGCGGTCGTTCTGAAGAGCACTATCTTCTGGGATATAACGCCGTGTAGTCCGTTAAAAGTCAACCGACGTTTCGAAGAAACATCCTCTTCATCTTCAGGGTCGAATAAGTCGAGCAATTTGCCACCTGCTTTCATGCTGGTACCTTGCTTGGCTTATTCGACCCTGAAGATGGAGGCGATATTTCTCTGAAATGTCGGTTGACTTTCAACGGACTACATGGCGTTGTATCCCAGAAGATAGTGCTCTTCGTATATGAACTGATTTAACTAATCTTGCTTCAAATGGAGAAATTTACTTCCTCTCAAATGTGAGGAGCTCCCTTAAGACAAATTGCATTAAGTGTTGAGGCTTCATCAACATCCATTCAACATCCCCTTACTGGAATGTGCTGCATCGATGTGAACTAGATCCACGGTAGAAAAGATGAACATACAGGAGTGTTGAGTAAAGTTGAAGTAATAAGAATTTGAATGAAAAATGTTCGCTACTTACATTAACCCATACAAAACATTATTTTAGTCACTTAAGGTCTACACGTTTCTTCTCAGCCACTACCATTACCATTGGCTTATTACAAGTTAGGATTCCGCAATCTCTACATACAAAGTCTGGCAGGGAAACCTGATCGTTTCTTTGAAACCATCGTGTTTCCCTGCTGGACCCTGTATTTCTTACAATCATTGCCATTTTTTGGAGCCTGTTTCCAGTATGATTTCCTTAAACTCAATCTATCTTCCGAGCCACTACCATTATCCTGGAATATGATTCCATTCATGATTCATTCCATACAAATATTTTCTTCCCAGAGGTTATGTATTTCTTGTCTTAACTACGTGTATATTGATTTCTTCAGAGGAACTTTTGTGTGATATTTTACCTAGTTCTGTTAGTTTCGTCCAAGTAATTTCCATTTCCATCGAGTCATCTACTCTTATCCCCCAAGTACCCTACCTCTACATCTAGTTATTCCATTTGTGACTAACACCATTCAAGGCAAGGAATGTGCACGTTTAGGCATATGGCATTGCTTTACTAGAGATGGGGGATAGAATGACCAGCAATGTCTTACGAGTGGCTGCATGCAGGAAATGGAAAACAGATATCAATGTAATGTGGTACTGGGAATCTTTACTGAAAATTGTGTTCAGGCCATGACTACTTTCTTCAAAATCATTATTTATTAATCTTCCTATCATCAGACATCATATAGTCTCAAAAGTGACACTGTTATTAAATAATTAACTTAGTAAAAAGGACACTTTTCAGTGTGGTGGCTATTTAGTGAAATACATGTAAAATTATTTCTGACTGTACAGGGTTAATCGTGACTATTGTATGTGCCAGGAGCTGTACTGGAAGTTGTCTTATTAGGTTTTAAATGCCAACAGTCTACAAAAATGGTGGGTCGCAAGAGCCATAGTGCAGATCTAAAATGCCATTCCAAACACAAAAGTATGTCATTTAAACGCCTACACAAGGGGTTAATAACAACATTATAAAATTCTAAAAATCTGCTTACAAGAGAAATTCTCATTTGATTATGGATTAAATACTACTACTTCTTGGAGGTACTTGAAACTTCTCCAACCAGAACTTAGCATTTGATATATCTGTAATAAATTTCCTTATTAATTTTATGAGGTCTAATTATATGGGAAGGACTCCAACAAATTAAAACCTGATTCAGGAGGAAATTAAGTGGAGAGTGAACTCAGGTAATGCTTGCTATCATTCAGCCCAGAACCTTTTGTCTTCTCATCTGCTGTCTAAATATAATTTTGCCTGTGGTTTTGTATGGGTATGAAACTTGGTGTCTGACAATAAGGGGGAACATAGACTGAAGGTCTTAGAGAACAGGGTGCTGAGGGGAATATTTGGACCGAAGAGAGATTAAGTGACAGGAGTTTGGAGAAAACTTCATCATGAGGAGCTTCATAACTATAAATACAAATCAAATTTAGCTTCATAACTCTTCTCCGAGTACAGTTAGAACGATCAAGTCAAGGAGGATGAGATGGGCAGGGCATGTAGCACGAATGGGGAGAAGAGGAATGCATATAGGACATTAGTGGGAAAGGCAGAAGGAAAGAGAGCACTAGGAAGACCAAAATGTAGGTGGGTGAACAATATTAAAATGGATCTTACACACTCAGAATGGGATAGTATGGACTGGACTGCTCTGGCTCAGGATAGGTCCAGTGAAGGGCTCTTGTGAACATTGTAATGAACCTTCACACTGCATAAAATGCCTGGAAGTTCTTGAGTAGTTGCACAATTGGCAGCTTCTCAAGAAGGGCTCAACGCCAGGAGTGAATGAGTGAATTTCCTATTCAATGGCTATACATTATGAATATTTCAGTAACTTATCCAAGAGACAGTCGTTGTAGTAGTAGCAGTAGCAGCAGCAGCATTAGCAGTATCTAATGCTCAGGCACTTGGAGGAATTACATTTGCTTTCCAGCATCCAAACATACAGTGTGATTCAGAAAGATGGACACAATTTCAATTGGCTATATTTCCTGAACTATATGTTGCATTTGAATTCTGTAAAGTACCTTTGAAATACTACTGCTAGAGCACTCCAGCACCGCGTCAGTTGTAAGCGAGATGGCTACTATGCAACACAAGTTTTTTGCATTTGTGAGTTCAGTAAAAGTGAGTCTGCGGCTGCGGTGCTGCGTGCATTTCACCGTAAGGTCAACATCCAACCTCCAAGGAAGAGCATTTATCGTTGGAATAAACAATTTGATGAAACCGGCTCTCTGTGTAAGGGTAAAGCCAAGGCACCTGAATGTTCGACATTCCCTGAATTAATCTCTACCTCAACGATGGATAGGTCGCATGGGGAATGAAGACCTGGCACTTCAGTTCTGGCCACCGAGGTCTCCTGATCTCACACCCTGCAACTTTATCTTGTGGGGATTCGTGAAAGATGCAGTTTACGTACCACCTCTTCCCACAAATCTGAATGACTTAAGAAACCGTATCACAGCTGCAGTGAACTCAGTAACGCAAGATATTTGTCATCGATTGTGGGATGAATTCAACTACCGTCTAGATGTTATCTGTGCAGCCGTGCGCGGGGGCACATTGAACATCCATAAACTTCCATGTATGTATAATCAAATGTAATTTACAGAATTCAAATGCAACATATAATTCAGGAAATACTGCCAATTTAAATTGTGTCAATCTTTCTGAATCACTCTGTATTTTCACAGTATTATTCTCAGTATCTGAAACAATGCATTTTTGAATATGGTCTTTACGCATTCCAGCGTCCTCCTTAGTGCACAAAACACATTGGGAATGGAAAAAGTGGCAATATGTGTAAATGACCTGCTAAACAATCATAGGCTACCACAGCAACTTCTCTTGGAAAATCAGGAATTATATTTCTGTTCTTGACTATTTTGTTCCAGGACATAATATCCTGATAAGTCATCTTGATTGCTTCTTTTTATCTTTAATTTTGCAGAGTGAAATGTTAGTTTACTTGCAGGTGTTTGACTGATCTTTGTTCCCTTCCTTGATAAGTAATCTGCCCCACAACATCCCAGCGGCACTGAAATCTTATATCATTTAGAAGAGACAGCAAAGATGAACAAACATCATGTAAGCCCTGGATTTTATAAAAACCCGTATAAATAATTACATAATGTAAATACACCTCTCCTATAGGCTCCACAAAAAGAGAATGGAGAAATGTTCATAACAATTCTCCAACAAGCTACTGGATATTTCTGTTGTTTATTATCTGAAGTAAAAATATTCAGGCATTAGAACAGCATCAGCTTTCCCATCAGTGCTTGAAATAGCCATAACTGTCACATACTGATGTTTGATGTTTCATTTCAGGCCATTAGCAAGTGCTCAAGAATAACATATGAACTAATCACATCAGCCTGTTGTGTAGGAGCTGTAAAATAACACCCCAATCCCTCATGATTATTTATACAATCTTCCTGCATGCTCTTTACATCATCCTTTACCATGTTGACTACCACTGTGATTTGTACACGTTTTGTCTCAGGCCACCATTTTCAGACTGCTGTGAATAGTTATGAATGCCAATCAGAGATGTGGTACCCACAAATCATAAAGGACAAATTCCCTTGAAGCTAGCATGCAACTTATGGACACAAGGTGCTGAGATAAGAACATATCCTGTCATTACATATTGGGCATCAGTAACAGCCATAACAGATAAAACAGTCTGCATGAGGCACTGGTGACTGCCATGGCACCAGGGAAAATGTTTTGGACAGATAATGGTGTCCTTCAAGGCACACATCATGTAAAACCTATGAGTGACATCAGAAAACTCTCTGTCAAACTCACATTGAAAACCATGAAAGTATTTATTTAGTAGATGCCACAAATCCACAGGAAGAGATAAAAGAGGTAAAGTGAATACTCAATGCTCCCATAAAAGCTATAATTTTGCTGACACTTCCAAAAAAGCTAGACAAATAAACCCCAGCCAATTCAAAATAAAACAGCAACAACATTAAGCAAACTAGGGGGGGGGGAG